TTTCAGTGACCGGTTCAAACCCAACCCCCTCCCCCCGCGCCTTTCTCTCTCCTCCCCCTCCGCCTCCCCCAGGCCCAACGGCCCAAATTCAAAACATCCCTTGGCCTGCGCCTCTCTCTCTCTCTCTCTCTTTTCCCCCGTTCTTTATTTAAAAAATTAAAATCAACCTCCCCTTCCCGCCCCCTCCCCACCTCCTCTCTCTCTTCCTTCAAAATTTTCAAACCCACCCCCCCCCTCTCCCTCTCTCTCTCTCTCTCTCCTCTCTCCTCTCCGTACAAAATTTTCAAACCCACCACTCCCTCTCTCTCCTTACAAAATTTCAAACCCACCCCTCTCTCCGTCCCTCCGTGCCTCTAATTCAATAAAAAATTAAGAAAAAAATGTATTTATCAAATTTTTTACAATACATTTTATTTTATTTAAATATTAAAAAATTAAAAATTAAAAAAATATAAAATAGTAAAAGTTAGTTTTTTAAATTTTGAAATTTTTAATTAAAATTATATATATGTATATATATACTTTAAATTTTGGAAATAAATATATAATAATATAAAATATATTAATATTACTATACTACATATAATTTATAAAATTTAAATAAAAATATAACAAATAAATTATATTAAATTTATTAAAAATTTATTTATTATTTAAAATTTTTTATTATTAACCAGTTCGATCACCTGTTAAATTGGTTGAATTAATTAGATTATGACCTAATAATTTTATCAGCTTAGTCACTTAACTGATTTCTAAAACATTGGGTTCATCCACAGGCGAACAGCGCCCAACTCACCACCCACAAATCACAAGGCAGCCCGATGGCATTATTTTTTGCTAAAGGCTAAAGTTGTGCTTTACAATTTTTCACGTTTTCGCATCCAAATGATGCTCGCTCTCTCTCTCTCTCTCTCTTCTCCCCCCCCCCCCCCCCCCCCCCCCCCCAACAACAACATCCTTTCCTCCCGTCCCTCTATTTACTCGTAGACTTGAAGAGGAGGGTAGGGACCAGGACTTTATCATTACAAAATATTTCAATTTTTTTATTATAAATGGTTAAGATTTTTAAATTACTAAATCAATTTTTATAATTAAAATATTTTTAAAATTCTGCACGTTTCATTTTCTTCACTTGATAAGCTAAATGAAGGCAGCCCAAACCCAAATGCAACGTGTGAAAGAGACGTGCTTCTTGTTTTCTGAAGTAAAAGCACATCTGGGTTGGCTTGAAGAATTTTATAACGTCAATCACTTGTGCGGCGCATGATAATGATACTAACCTCCGCTCACACGTGAGAAGGGAGTAATTGTAATTATTGAATATATTTTGTAGTCAAAACACACAATAATATAGGCTTATAAACATAAAATTGAGGATGAAATTAGAAGTTTTAAAATAAAAATTTATAATATCATAATGTTTTTGTAATGGCATCGGAGTTCATCAATTCCACTATGATATAGATGGGAGTAATCTCTTACGATATTTGAAAAGTTTAAGGTGATTAGTTTAAACCACTTCTTAAAAAGTCAACATTTGACAATCCAAGATTCAAAAGAGCTCCAAAAAGTAGGAAGGCACAGAAAAATTGGGATGGCTATTTCAAGAGAGGGGTCCTACATCTCTCTCTCTCTCTCTCTCTCTCTTTCCCCTTAAAGTGTGTTGACTAGAAGAAGTAGGCATGATTAAAAAGCCGCAAAAGCAGCTTGTGGGCTTTTGGATTTTAGCTTCCACGCGTAGTCAGAAGGGATGACGGTGGTGGTGGCAGCAAGCAAGGTGTCGAGGCCTCTTGGGACAGAAATCTAGAGATAATGCCCTGAAGATTTCTGTTTGTGTCTTCGAAAATGAGATAATAAGTATAGACAGGCCTCTTTTCCTTTGAATTAATGATTGAAGTGTTTTTTTTCGTTTTCTGTTGTCTTTTCTTAACTGGAAAAGTTAACAATGGAAGTTGATGCTCAATCATCTTCTCATAGAAGGTTGAGTGACTAATTGCAGACTATAAATAGAAAGGTCAGAGATTGATTTAAGCAAAGTTTGCTAACACCAAAAAGAGAGGTGCTTTCCCTTTTTTTGAGGTCAGCTTGGACTAAAAAAGTTGGGAATCTTCCATGAAAAAGCCATATTTTGGGCTCAAAGACCAGAGATACAGGGGCTTCTGGGGCTTTTTGAAAAGTCTAGAAGACAAAGAGTGAATTACATCTTTGGTCCCTTTAATTTCACTGAAGTTCTAGTATGATATCTATAGTTTCAATTGTAACATATTTATCCTTAAAATTTAAAAAATATTAATTTTTTCGCTCTCTTCTTAATATTTTTTTAGACAAAAACTAAATTTCTAAGCAAAGGAAACCTTAATTTCTGCATGCATAAGAAGATCGTACGAGTCTCTGTGATTGGTAAAGGCAATTCTCCGTTAATGTCTAATTAAATTGAGGGTAAGATTTACAAAGAAATTGGGTTAGATGGCTGATTTGTATAAGAATTAGAGTTTCAGTCTAAAAAAACTAACTAATAACCCAAAGATTCACACGTTTAAAATATTGGAACTAGATGCGTTAAAAACAAAATTGTAATGATCAAAATAAGATTTGAATGGAGCAAGGACCTAAAGTACAATTTGCAAATAAAAGGCAACCAACGACCATATGTTCGGAAAAAAAATCCAATAATATGGGAAATATACCGTATTTATAAAATATAAAAAACATATATATATATGTATTCTAATATTTAATACTTCTAATTTTATTTCAAAAAATAATTTTAATTTTATATCTATATTCAGTAACAGGGTTGTGAATTGCAGTCTTCACTTAATTTTCTTTGTGTGTAAAAATGGATTCCGATGGGATGTGGAGATGTGCAGGGCCAGGGTGTTCTTCAGTGGCTTACGGAGCATCGGAGGAATTGGGCCCTTTCGGATCAACAAAACCGTTCAAGTCTCTATCTCAACAAGTATTCCTGGAACAGAGGTACTTCTAACTTTGACTTATAACTCTCTTCTCAATTTCAAACTTTTTTATATAAATTTTAATTTAATTTGAAAAAAATTACTTTTTTAATGTGAAATGTTTGGTTTTTTTTTTTTTTGTAACAAAAAACCCAAGAGACAATTTTTACTGTAAAAAATATATGCTCAATTATTTTTTTTAAAGAAGACTTGAAATATTATCTATATCTATGTTTGTATACCTGTATAAATAACAAAATACACTAAATTGAAATACTTAATTTCAATTTTTAAATAAAACTTGTGACAGTCACATTTATTCGACCTAAAACTCAATTAAAAATAAAAAAAAGATTAAATATGCACCTCCCAACATCCACCAAGGTAAAAGCCTATGAACCATAACCAAAGTTCCACTTATTTTTAATAAAAGTAGTATATTACTTTTTTGACAAACAGACGATGAAAATGGAAATTTTACATAGGTAGGATTAAATTAGTTAAACCAACCACTAAACCCAACATTTAATCCTCCCAATCATTTTTTTAATATTTACCCATCCAGCCTTACATCCAATGGTTGCAAATTTTATAGATATAAGATTGGGATGAAGTTGATTTGGATTAAGGCTATCAATTTGTTGGATTTGGACTTAGCTTTGATTATAAGATTTGAATTTTATTAGAATATTTGATGAATCAAATCTAATTATAAATATCTATAATTTAAAATAAGTAGATCAAGTATAATATTAAGTAATCCAATTATTAAATATTTGAATTTATATTTTAATAATATTTTTAATTAAATTAATAATATTATATATAAATTAAATAAATTTAAATTTATAAGAATTGAATTGATAAAATAAAAAAGTAATATGACTAACGTGATTGATAAAATAGATTTGAGAGATTTAAGTATAAACAATTATTTTTTTATTAAATTAAATTTTCTTGTTAAATTTTGATTATAGATTGAACTTGTATATAGATTAAAAAATATAAATTTTGGAAAATTTTAAAACAAATTTAGATATAAAATAAGTAATCCCATTAATATTTGAATCAACTTAATTTAATTCAAACCTAAATCATTAGCAGCTTTTGTCTGAATGGAATGAAGGGGTTGATGAATATGTCTACTCCTGAATTTAAGCTCCTCGTTACAATATCTCTTCAATTCCCTCCAATCCGCCAGTTCCCCACTCTTGGAAGATTTTTCGCAGCAAATGCAAGAATCTCTTTTGTTCTCTGAATTGGCATGCTGCTCTCCTAACTTTCAGATCCAACGGTTATAATTCCCCTATTTGTATAGCTCTCAGTAACCCATTCTTTTACAAAATACAGTGTCCCATGGACTATGACTAAACCACTTCCAGTCACACACGTACACGCTAACCTCTACTTAAGTACGCAATTTATTTAGATATACTTGATACTAGTGTGTACTTGTTAGGTATTATACTTAACAGTTTTTAAATGTATGAAAAAGTAGATACGTAAAGTCATTTTCTCGTATATTTAAAATTAATAGGTGTACTGTCCCAATAAATGCACACTCAATATCAACTAAACCTTATTTTCAACAAAAATATTATCTACTTTAATAATGAGATGGAATTTGGACTCTATTGTATATGCGTGAATCTCGTCTCAATACAAGGAAGGATCAAACTACTTTCGGTGATATCATCAAAGTTCATTCAAATTGCTTAGATCTTTTGGGCATCCGATATAAGCCTTAACAGTTACAGCAAGGCAGCGTGAAAAGAAAAAAGAGAGAGAAAAAAAGAAATCCTCATCTTTTTTCCTTGCTAATTAAAAATTCTATAATTGCAGTGGCAAATCTTCTGTTTCTGGAATCACCTGCAGAGTTGGCTTCTCCTACACCAACACAAGTTCTGACCTTAAGGATTCTGGGGACAAGAGAACTGGTACTAACTATTCATTTCAAAAGAAAGATAAATTAAATGGGTATATAAAACTTCTATTCCATTTATTTTATTTTATTTTTAAATAAAGACTATAATTAATTAAAAAAGTAACTTTTATGCTTTTTTTTCCTCATTAGTTAATGCTTCAATCTTGTGTAACAGCTCAGGATGCTTTAATTTTCCTAATTAGATGGTTCTCAAGATTTCCTCAGTACAAATACAGAGACTTCTACATTGCTGGGGAGAGCTATGCCGGTATGTATATAAATATAATACAAACTTATGTCCAAATAAATTTTAAAAATGTTTTAAAGAATTTCTGAAACTGCCCACAAAACCAAACACCCCCACATGCCACTTTAATTACTTTTAGGATCGTAAAAAGAGCATATTTAAATACAAATTTGATTTGGATTCGATTTGATATATATAATTTGATTATAAAATTTTATAATTTAAAATAAATATACTAAAAATGGATTTTATCTGATTTCGTTAAACATCTAAATCTATATATATATGTATATATGTATATATATACACACTTATATCTATCTTATATATATATATAATGTGATATATAATATAACATAATATTAGATATATAACTACAAACTTGATTTATAAGACTCTAATTAATAAACTATTTTTTCTTAAAAATAAAAATTGAAAAAAATATTTTTATCTCTTTTATAAAAACAAAAATAAGAAAATGTATATTAATGGATTAACTGTAATTATTTTATATTACTGTTAAACCTATCTCAAATGTAATATTTATGATAAATCAAATATAATTATATTATATTATGAAACTCTAAAATTATTTATTACTTTATTTTTTTAAGAATTTGTTATTTTGTTTGAATTATTTTTTTAAAGTGTAAAAATAATAAAAATATGATAATTTAATAATTTAAATTTGGATTATTAATTCGGATATAATTTTATCAGTACAGATTTTATAAGAATTTAGATATGATAAAATTTTATCAGATTTAGATCCAATAATATTATGATGGGACCGAATCTAACCAATTGATCATTCTAATTAACTTAAAGGAGATAAGTTTGAGCACTACTTCTATTCGTAAGCTTTTCTGCACGCGGAAAAGCAACTTATTAAACCAACCAAGCAGAAAAGCCCCTTGGTTGCCTACTTTAAAAAGGTACTCTCGTGCTTGTCCATGCAGGTCATTATGTTCCGCAATTGACCAAGAAAATTCATGATTATAACAAACAACTTTCCCACCCAAACATCAATCTCAAAGGCTTCATTGTGAGTTTCTCTTATCAATACTTCTAAATTACAAAGTACAATTTTTTTTTTCCTTTTTTGATTCCTTACAAATTAAAATGCATTAAATTTATCCCTTAAACCTCTTAATTATTAATTCATACCATTTAATTAATTAACAGAAAAGAAAAAAACTCTGTTTGAATTTGTTTAGGCATCTATTTTCTGCCTTTTTTAAAACAAAAGTAAGTACTAAAATAAGTCAAAAATTATATTTTTTCTTATGATTTTTATTTGGGTTAGGCTTCGAGTTGTTCAATTTAGTCCCTCAATATTAATTTTTTTAAAAAGCTAATTTTTTGTTGAATTATGAATTGTGAATTTTTTAAATTATTTGATTCAACACTGAAAAAACTAAAAAATTTAAAAAATTAAAGATTAAACTTATTGAGAATATGATTTTACTATTTTCTTAAAAAAATTAACCTTTTTTTTTCAATTACCCCAAAAAATTATTTATTAAGTATAAAAAATATAAAACAAAGTATCTATCTATGACAATTTATTTCCTTATTAAAATACACCCTTTACTGTTTGAAATACGAATTTAAAAATTGTAAAATAAATTTGTGAATTTTTAAAACGAGTTTGTTTAACCACCCTAGTTTGAATTATTGTTTTAAAATATCTAATATTAAATTATTTAATAGTAATTTCAAATATCTCATATATTATATTATATCGTTTTTAAAAATCGAAATGGGACAAAATATTATAACTTACTTCTTAAACATTCTTCTGAAAGTAGTTTCTAGAAACAACCAAACAAACAGGACTTTGTTTTCATAAACAGAAAATAATTTAAAACACAAATCCAAAGTAGCCATGTTTGCATTTGTATTTGACTTTTTTTTTCCTATTACATCAATTACCCATTTTATGTTTTTGAAACGGAAACTACACACAAAACATTTAAAAATCCACTTATTTTCATAAAATTTTTGTCATTTCAAAGGAAAAAGTGTAATGAAAATTCTTAAAACAGTTTTTTGTTATTTTATGAAAACAGATCAGTTTTCTGAAAATACTGCGGATAATATATTTTTGAAAACAACCTTCCAAAAGACTATTCTGTTTGCAAGAATGTAAGACTAACAGAATTTTCAATAAAATTATGATTTTTACGTATAAATTATTCTTAGGAGTTTGATTATTTTAACTATAGGTGGGAAACGCCGTGACAGATTACCACTACGACGGCATAGGAACGGCGTCGTATTGGTGGACCCACTCCATGATCTCCGACCGGACCTACAAGTCCATCCTTCAGCACTGCAACTTCGCGCCGCAGGAAAAGCCAACACGGTTATGCGACGCCGCCGTTGACTACGCCATGAACCACGAGTTCGGCAATGTCGACCCGTACAGCATCTACACCCCCACTTGCCAGCGGGCCAATAACGGCTCCGCAACCCTCCGGCGGCCGGTGAGGCTGAGGAACACCCTGCTCCGACGGAGGGTGGCGGGTTATGACCCGTGTACAGAGAGTTACGCGGAAAAGTATTATAACCGACCCGATGTGCAAAGGACCTTACACGCTAATACAACGGGGATTGCTTATAAGTGGACGGCCTGCAGGTCTCTTCCTCTCTATATTTTCTGTATTTTGAATAACAAAAAACTGGAAATATTAATTATTTTTTTTATATTCAGATTATTTTAAAATTTCGGATGAAATAGAGAATAAAAGGTTTTATTTACTACAAAATCCTGTGTCAACAGTTTTAAAAATCCAACTTATCATACAAAAATTTTCTATTTCAAAAATAGAAGCAATTTGCATAAATAAATACATTTTTTAATAAATTATATATATCTAAAGATAAAAATTTGAATTTTTTAGTAAAGATTTTATATGTTTGTGATCAACAAATTTAATATATATGTATGTGTATGTTTATATATTAAAATTGATAAAATTTTTTTAACATTTATCATTATATAAAATTGTCATTTGTCAGTTCAAATGATTAGCACGTGTATTTTTTGTAATTATTTTTATTATTATTTATATGAACACAATTTTTCTGGTCTAATTTAAAATTTTTGAACTGTAAAAGTAATTCAATTAATTTTTAAAATTTCGAGAAAAAATCTCTGCACGGGAAGCCAACTAATATTATATAATTTTTGGTATGGTTATATATATATATATATATATATAGAGAGAGAGAGAGAGAGAGAGAGAGAGAGAGAGTAATAATTTTGGTTTATATTTTTTGTTTCTTTTTTTTTTGACCAGTGACGTCCTTATAAAGAATTGGAAAGATTCAAAACCTTCCATGCTGCCCACATACGAGGAGCTAATGGCGGCTGGTCTTAGAATATGGGTTTTCAGGTACATTATGCTAAATAAGTCTTATCTCTTTGTGGCTAAATTCTATGTTAATTATTTCCTAATTCATGTAATTTTAAGCCTGAATATCAGGGGTTATCCAACCAATCTAAGAAAAAACCAAAAATTAAACCCTACTTAACCCTACTTACACTTCTATATATTTTGGTGAGATCTGCTTGGGTATCAAGAAAAAAATCAAACCAAGCGGTCTTTTCTTTAGTTGGGTTAGTTGAGTCGACCGTTTGGTTTAATTTGATTTATAGAGAATTAAGTAATTTAAAAAATTAGCATATTTTTTATTCAACATGAACTTAAATTAGACCAGATCCAGTTGAACATAGCTACGTAAGTATATTAAATTATACATTGCATGCGTAACAAATTATAAATTTTGTAATGTGCAGATGGCAAGTGTAACTTTATTTTTTTTTAGTAACTTGGAGACTTAAGTCCAAACTTACAGGAGGGAGAGGAGAAGAATTAGAGATTGAATTTGTAGCTTTTAAATAAAATTTTAAAGTATTCTAAATTAAGTTAACTAAACAATAATTTTATTCTATTTTTTTATTGGACAGCAACGATATTAAGTTTTAAAAAAATTCTTAAAATTTGGTGGTTTTGTTTTAAAATTTCAAATGGTGGAAATTCGATATAGATACAAATTGGTTATAATGACTTCAACCAACAATGGATTTTGTAAAGCAAATCACAAGCACTCCAATCGGAATATATTTGCTATTAAATCTTGATTTAGTGAGTAAATCATATTTGTTATTAAATCTTGATTTAGCGAGTAAATTTTACTAAATGTCTGAGGTATATTAAAATTGATGTACCCTCGTTAGTGGACCTGACCGCTCATTCTCTGTGCAGTGGAGACACAGATTCGGTCGTACCAGTGACTGCCACAAGATTCTCATTGAACCACCTCAACCTCACCGTCAAGACCCGGTGGTACCCATGGTACTCCGGCCCCCAGGTCATGCAGAAACTTCCATTGCAAACTCTAACCAAAACTATTTTTCGGTGGCCATTTTCTCCACCCAAAAAAGAAAAAACGAAATAAAAGATTAAGGCAAGTCATGAGACTGAAATAAATGATGTTTGTCTTGCAGGTGGGAGGGTGGACAGAGGTATACGAAGGGTTAACCTTTGCCACAGTAAGAGGAGCAGGGCATGAAGTTCCCCTGTTTCAACCTAGAAGAGCTTTTGTTCTTTTTCGGTCATTTTTGGCAGGCAAAGAACTACCAAAGTCATAACAGTCTCAGTTGGAACATTATTCAGTACTACTGTCATCTGGCAATAGCATACATATAGGTCTGAGATTTGTGGAGTTTGGAACAAGTTAGTCCACTGAAATAACCAGAAAATCAGGGAGTTAGTGACTAGAAAAAGGGGGGGGGGGGTGTCATTCATTCAAATTGTAACTTGTATTTCTGAAAGAACAACACATTTCATATTCATTTGATTCTGATGATGATAAGCAAGGAACGATACTACTGTAAGATTCCATTTATTGACCTTGAAAATCAATCTGTACAATAACTAAGACAACTTTTGAGTGTGTTTGTGAACCATTAAATTCCATGAGGACTTCTGCCGAGATTCAATAAAATAAGCTTTGGATTTTTTAGTAGACAATAAATCCATTGAAAACAACTCAAAAACCTTTCTTTTTATTTTCCCTACTTCAAAATCCTGAGAACCAACTTAGTTTACGAGTGCTTGCTCTGTGCACATGCGTGTCTGTATGTAAAGCAAACTGCTTTGAACATGATAAAATGTTTCTCCGTCAAGAAACTTGATACACACCTTTTTCCATATCTGATTTTCTCCATATCATACCCAGAATCGAGCTTTTACAAAGTTCAAATTACCCGCAGAATGACCGCATTTTGATTTACTCTCTTCAAACAAAAAGGAAGAAATTGTTCGAGCATCCTCATCGTCCTGCAGTAAGGGAATTTGTCAGACTCTTTTCCAGTGAAATTTGGTGTGTTGCATGAATGTGGAACTCAACAAGTCAATGTTCACGCTGGCCTCTGGTTTTGTAAAGATGCTATGTCTACAAGGGTTTTCTAAGTAAAGGACAACTAATCAAGATCATTAAGCTTGGATTTAAACTTGTTAAGGGCCTCCCCAATTGTGAGGCAAATAGGTTGGCTCAAGGGAAAAGGTAATGGATTGTCTTATCTCAAGGTCAGCTTAAGGGTGGCTCAAGGTAGTTAGCGGGAGGCTTGAGAGTAATAGGGTGGCTCAAGGTTGAAAATGGCCACCCTCCTCCATAAATAGCAGGGATGCCTTACCTTCGGGGTATCAAGCAAGGCAAGTGAGAGCTGAGTGAGGAAGAGAGCGACGGAGCTGAGCAAGGCAGAAAGAGAGAAAGAGAGAGAAGAAGAAGATAGATAGAGTGAAAGAGAGAGAGATAGGAGTCCTTTATTCCAATGGAAGAAGATAGTTGTAATCACCTCTCCCATTGTAATTCTTCTTATATAATAGAAGCATTGCCTGGATCGACCAATCGATCCTATGGTTTTTCCGGTTGTGTTTCCACATGAAATCTGTGTCTTTCTCTGTTCTCTCTTCTCTAATATCTTCACAGTGTTTGCGTGTGTTCTCTATGTGTTGAAGAAGCATCAGGGACCAATACTGGCATCAGAGCACGGGAGCTGTCCGATAGGCCATCTGTAGAACTCGTCATATAGAGATATAGTCTCTCACCAACCGAACCAAAAGAAACAGATAGGCTTCCTGTTTTGTTGTCATGAACAATCGTCTAATGAAACTAGCCACTGACTGTCTTCACCAGCAAGTAGATTGTGAGAGAGGAGAAATCATCGCAAATCGCAAAAGAAGCCGCTGGTATTGCAGCTGTCCAAATCCAGTTGGGAGTCTATCCAACTGATGAGGAAAAAACGAACAAAGTTCGGCCGATTAAGTTGTTTGGCCAAACTGAAGTGAAAAAAAGGCACAAGACAGAGAATAGAAGTTGTAGAAAGGCAGAATAAACGAGGAAAAAGAAAAAGAGAGTGAAGAGCTTGTACGTGGAAGATAAAGAAAAGAAAAGCAAAAAAGAGTGGAAAGAGACAATAGAGAGGAGAAAGAAAAAAAATGAGTGAAAAGAAAATGAATAGAGAGGGAAAGGGAAGTCTCAGGAGAAGAAAAATAGGAGTTGAAAAAGTTAAAAAAAAAAAAAAAAAAAGAAGAGATAAGGGAGAGTAATAGAGAGAAGGGAGGCAAAGTCAAACTTAAAAAAGGGCGAAGACACCCGCATGCAGAAGTAGAAGAAAAAAGAAAAGGAGAGTGGAAAAGAAAAGAAAAAAAGGGATGAAGGAGTACGACTGGTTCTCTCTCACCTCGACTGGCTTAGCACTGAACCGATTTAACCCATTACAAAACGGATTAAACACAATTTGGCCCAATTTGATAGTTTCATCCAGTTTCATCATTTTAAGTTGTTTCTTAATCCTAAATGCTATGAAGAGCTCCATTTCTCATGATGGGGATATGTTCAAGCTAACAACAAAAAATTACCCTTATGAGAAATTTATGATGGAAGATTATCTTTATTATGAAGATCTATCGGGTCGATTCTCAATTAGACCAAACTTGCAGACAAAACGAAAGGGAAATGGACGACTCTAAACAAACAAATAGTGGCCATGATCCGAAACTACATGGACAAAAGTCTGTTTGAACATGTGTCCTCTTATACAAATGCCTATGAGCTTTAGACAAAGCTTGATTATTTAATATAGAAGAAGACTCCTCGGTTTAAGGCAAGTTTAATGAGAAAGCTTGTCAAAATGGGGTATAAAGAAGGTCACGATATGATCAAGGACTTAAGTAGTTTTAAATGCATTATAAACTAGCTTGACAAGGCTGGAGGGAAGATCGAGGATGAGATGTGAGCTCTTCTACTTCTTAGCTCTCTACTTGAGAGTTTGGACATCTTGGTTGTTACTATCAACAACTCTGCTTTAGAAGGGAAGATCTCTATAGATCTTGTCCAATATAGCCTACTTGGTGAGGAATCAAGAAGAAATAAAAGGCGGATCTAGCTACTTTGAAACTAATGTTGTAAGAATAGAGGAAGTAAAGAATACAAAGGAAAAAATGTATGTTGTGGTCAAAGCAAAAGGCGAACGTTTAATAAGTCCAGAAGTTATTCAAATTCTTGCTTCAAAATCACCTGTTACTACTTTGGAAAGTTAGGGCACAAGAAAATTGAGTGCTATTCACTCAAGATGGATCAAAAGTTTAGCAATGTCAAACCAAATTAGATCGAAAAGAAGAAGGATGATGACAAGAGCATTACAATAGTTGCCGCAAGTAAAAAGACTTTCATGGTCTAAGATGATAACTACCTCAACATTGTCCTTGACAACTCTACTTGGATGATCGACTCTGGTGCTTATTTCCATGTCTTACCTCATAAAAGTTGTCAAGATGGGGAATTAGGACATGAGCAAGATTGTAGGCATTAGGAATGTAACTCTCCTAACAAACATAAGATGCAAGCTTACTCTCAAAGATGTGAGACATATTCCAGACATTTGCATCAACTTAATCTCTATAGGAAAGTTCGATGATGCTGGACTTGTAAGCCAATTTAGAGGTGGAAAGTGGAAGTTAACAAAAGGAAACCTAATAATAGATCGTGAAAGAAAGGAAGGCTCATTGTATGTGACCCAAGGCAAGTTGAATAAAGGAGAAGTCAATGTGACCAAAGATACAAGCATAGGATTGTGGCACAAGAGGCTCAAACACCTGAGCAAAAAAGGATTACAGATCCTCTCTCAAAAGTAACGCTTTCTTGAGATCAAAGGTATAACGCTCAAACCTTGCAGTAACTGTCTAGTTGGAAAACAACACAAAGTTGCTTTTTATAGATCTGCACGACCCACTACAAGCATGAACATTCTCGACGTGGTGTACACCAATGTTTATTCCATGAATGAGAAGTCACTTGGGGAAGTTTTCTACTTTGTTGGTTTCATTGATGATTACTCTAGAAGAGTTTGGGTTGTTTTTTTTTTATTTTTTTATTTTTTTATTTTTTTTATTAAGATCCCAACACTAGGTCTTGCAAGCATTCAAGGAGTTTCATGTGTGAGTTGAACGTGAAACTAGGCAAAAGTTAAGATGTTTGCTATCACACAACTGTGGAGAATACAGTGGTCATTTTGAGGATTATTGTTGAGCTAATGGCATTTGACATATAAAGACTCCACCGAAGACACCATTACTCAATCATGTAGCCAAAAGAATGAACAAAACAATTGGAGAAAGAGTTAGATGCATGTTGTCTCATGCCAAGTTGCCTATGTCCTTTTGGGGTGAAGTTTTAAGATTGGCCATCAACATCATCAATCCCTCACATTTTGTATCTTTAAAGGGAAAATTTCTAAAAGAAATCTGGACAGGGAAGAAGGCCTCTTACAATCATTTAAAGGTGTTTGGTTGTAGAGCATTCATTCATATTCCCACTAATGAACAAGCAAAGCTAGATGCCAAAAGATTGCATCTATCTTAGGTCACCCAAAGATGAATACGGGTACTGATTGTGGGACCTTACTAGTAAAAAGATTGTAAAAAGCATAGATGTGGTATTTTTTGAAGATCAGATGATAAAAGATATCAAGAAGGCTGAGAAGCAAAAGGTCAAGGCCTCCGAAACCTTCCCCACAATAAGACATGATTTAGGGGAGCTATGCCAGAAGTTCAAACTGAAGAAATTACAACTAATATTGAAGTTTGAGAATAGGTAAGGCCTATAGGTGGAGAAATTGTAGAGACTTCATAGATTGCTAAGCTTACTCCTTCTCAAAAGGCTCTATTGAGACGATCTAATAGAGAAAGAAGACTGTCTTCTCAATATCCTGTAGGTGAGTATGTGACTCTCACAACTAATGGAGGACCTTAAAGTTTTGCAAAAACTATGAGTGATACACATAAGGCAGATTGACTTCAAGCTATGGAAGAGGAGATGGATTCTTTGCATGAGAATCATACTTATGACTTGTAGAGTTGCCTAAAGGCAAATTAGTTCTAAAAAACAAATAGGCTTTTAGAATCAAGTCTAAAGATAATTGACAAAAACTGAGGTACAAGGCTTGGCTAGTCATAAAAGGATTTGAAAGGCATCGACTTCAAAGAAATTTTCTCTTTAGTGGTGAAGATGTCGTCTATCCAAGTTGTTCTCGCATTTGTTGTCAGTCTTGACTTGGAAATTGAACAACTCGATGTCAAAATAGCTTTTTTCCATGAAGATCTTGATGAGGAAATTCATATAGAGCAACCAGAGGGATGTCAAC